CCCCCCCAACGACACGATCCATGCAGTCATTTCGTTAAGAAAATCCCCTTGTTTTTTCAAACTGCAGAAAGGGGGGAGGGGGGGGAGAGAGAGGAAGAGAGAGAGAGGGAGAAAGAATGTTACTTTCAGAGCACCCGCCAACCACCCAGGGAAATTGTCTTCAGAGATTAGATGGAATTGGAAGTAGTAAAGAAGACCTACGAAAAATAATAAAAAATTTAAAGACATTTTTTTTCAAAACAACACTGGATAGGAAGATGACATAATGTAGGGCGGGGGGGTAATCTTCTCACTTGACCCAGGTCAGGCACAAGTCAACAGGACAATGTAACAAATGAACATAAAAAGTTGATGTATGTGTGAAAATATGACAAGTCCTGGACAACAAAAGAAATGGAAATGGATTGGACACACCCTGAGGAGACCCCAGACAAGCATCATCAGGCAGGCTTTAACGTGGAACCCACAAGGAAAGCGTAAGAAGGGAAGACCAAAGATGACATGGAGGCGAGCGGTACAAGCGGAAATTGAAAAACCGGGGACATCATGGAAACAGATAGAAAATAAGGATGCTTAGGACAGGCTTCGCTGGAGTAATGTTGTTGATGGCCTGTGCTCCACTGGGAGTTAAAATGGGCAAGAGAGAGAGGACAACAAAGACAGTTGATTCTTTAAATGGGAAGACTTCCGTAACGAGCGACCACTACAAGACAGAGTAGAACAAAGGGTTAGGGTTAGGGTTTGGGGTAGGGTTAGGTCTCTTCTTTTTTGCGTTTGTTGGGGTGGTCGCTCGTTACGGAAATCCTTCCCTTGAAATGAACATAATATCAAGGTGAATAGAAGCCAGCTGAAGAAAAGCTTTGTACGCCAATGTAGAAACTACAAATTGCGAGTGTTGCTATATCTCGCATTCAGGAAAGGTTTGAGCACTGCATTAGTCTTGCCTACACAGTCTGCACCCATACGCTGATTTGGTGACTCAATATATGCCCCTAAAAAAGAACCCTCAATAACATTCCTCATTGTGTGACAGCTATTCTTACTGCTGCGACTTTTTAAAGATTAAGAACAGTTTCACAATAGTGTTGTTTAGTTTCTTTGTACAAGTTTTATGGCACTTGCAAATCAACTTGCCCCCATCACCTAAAAAAAATCTGGCGGATTTAAATGCCCCCTTGTATTTCACCATAATTTGATGTTTTGCACTTAATAATAAAAGTTTGATATTTTCTTAAAAACAATTCATTTGCAAGGGTTTTAGTTTATGTGGCCATATGTTGTGTTCTGCAGCAAAAATTATGTCAGTTTGCCCCCCCCCCCAAAAAAAACCCAGTGCATCTGCAGTGGGTCTAAAAGTAAAACTTTACCAATATTTCTAACTCACCTTACAAACAAAGGGCCGACGGAGGAGGGGGGACTTTTGTCCCAATGCCAAGTGGTGCACAGTTACTGTTGGTCTGTCAGCTGCCACAGAGTATTTTCCAGAATTCCAGCGAGGACAAGCACACGTTTCCGGCTCCTCCAATATAAATCAGTGCGAATCCAATGTAACAGCAAATCACAAACCACTCCTACTGCTTCACTCACGAGGAATATCCAAGAAATAGAGCTTGACACACAGGTTCAGATTTCGGTGGACTGTAGTTTACAGAAATTAATCCCAAGTGGTGTACTTCACTGCAAAATATTATTGACCAAGTTAGAGAAAATACATAGGGCCCTATATGACATGTGTAAGAGGAAGGACTTCCGTAAGAAGCGACAACCCCAACAAATACAATAAAGAACACGCTAACCCTAACCCACCCCTACCCCTCTATTCTACTCTGTCTCATAGTGGTTGCTCGTTGTGGAAGTCCTCTCGTTTTAGATCAGGGGTCACCAAACTTTTTTCGAAGTGGGTAAAACTGAGAGAATGCTGAGAGCAGGCTGGATTATAACTATTTTGTTCATTACAATACGCCGAATGATAAAAGCACTTTTAAATTTGCACTTTTTAAGTTCTATGAAAAGATCAAATGATTTCGGTGACAAAGCTCTGAGCACACTAAACAACAAACACACCTTCCCATCTTTCTCCCCACAGGCTATGACTATGGCAGAGGTAGCATAAGATGACCATAGGACAGACGAACCAATTTAATCATGGGACTGATCTGGCCTGCAAGCTTAATATAAGGGGTGCCCACTAGCGCGAACGGGTCGGATCAGGTCGATTTGGTAGTCGGGGGCTAGCCAAATTGAGGGTGCAAAGCGGCCATCGAGGCACAAATCGATCGACTCGGTCAGTGACCCTCAAAAACAAACGCGTTTGTTTTCAGACCTGCGAGTCGCGCGATCGGATGGTTTGCAGCCAATCACAACAAAGTGCTGAGTCATGTGCTCATGTTGACACTGCAATGTCAAGGTCAGGCATTTCCGCATGAAATACCATCAACAATAATTGACAACAATGGAGTCCATTGACATAGAGTTAGAGAAAAACTAATAGTAAAGATCGTAGATAGGTCTTACAAGATTGATCTAGTTCACTCCTCTCTTTGAGTTTGACCCGGATTCGAACCTGGGACCTTTGAATGAGAGGCCAATACCTTAACCGCTAGGCCACGAGAGCCCCCGACCCATGTTTATGCGATTCCAGGCTGCCACAGCACTGCAACAGGGAACTGCAGAAAGGAGCCCTGGAGGCCATTGAGGTTAAAGGTTTCTCTACTATAACTTCCACGTCGTCGGGTACAGTCGCGGCGGGGTTGTAGTGTGCACTGAAACCACCAGAAAACGATCCGACCCGACCCGATCGCACTAATGGCATCCCCCTATAAAGGCCGGTTTGGTGACCCCTGCTTTAGTTAGACAGATAAGGACAACACATGAGACTTGTTTCACCAATGTTGAAAATAAAAATAGGACATGGATGGACTGTCCTATACTAAAGGCATAGGGACACAGTAATTAGGCTAGAAGCCAACCTGTACAGGCTAGACAAGAATCAGTAATCAGTCTGATTCTGAAGAATCACGTCCTGTTGGTCAGTCTGACAAATAAAACATATTTGTTTGAAACGAAATTTAGCCTACAAAACCATTGATTAGGCAGTAGGGATCTCAATCTAGATCTATGTCATTATCATTAAGTTACTGTAAGTATTACAAGGTATTGACAATAATTGAGCAATTAATGCTATGAAAGATCTTGAAAGATTTCTAAATCTAGAAAGGGAGTGTATACAGACCCGGTAACCGGGAACAAAGTCACAAAGTATACAGACCCAGTGGGGGAACTCTTTTGTGATTTCAGAAAGCTTCAGCGCCCCCTTCGCTCAGGGTAGACCTAGGTTCTTCTAGATCTATGGCCTAGATAATCTAGACAGACATAAAAAGCATTGATCTAGTTTCGAGGTTAGCCGGGGTAGATCTAGATCTAAATGAAAATTGCGGATGTCTTTTCGATGAACAATCGTTTTTCCTCCGTTTTGGAGTTGGAGGAATCATAATTTGAAGAAAAGAACAATGTCATAATTTCAATCGAGCAGTCTCTCTATCTCTGTCTCTCTCTCTCTCTCCTCTGTCTCTGTGTATCGCTTGCATTCTCTTTTTCTTTGTCTCTGTCTTTCTTTCTCCCCACCTATTTCCCACTCGTTCTCTCGTTCCTTCCTGCCGACTGGGACATGTCATATATTTTGCTAGCACTTCCCCCTTCTCTCTCTCTCCTCTCTCTCTCACACACACACACTAGATCTACATTATGTACCAGGTCTGGGCGCTGAAACTTTCCGAAATCACAAAAGAGTTCCCCTACCGGGTCTGCATACTTTGTGACTTTGTTCCCGGTTACCGGGTCTGTACTGTATACACTTTAATCTAGAAATCTAGTCTAGATCTAGATCTAGATCTAGATCTAGATCTAGATCTAGAGTCTAGATCTATTACTATTGCTGCAAAAAACATAACTGAATATAACATACCTGACACCTCAAACCGAGAGTCGAAGGGGAAGATTGAAGAATACCGGACCACTCGTACATTATTGCGCGAGAAAGTGGGGTTGGTGGGGCTGGTGGTTGGGGTGGATGAGGGACAAAATTTTAATGAATAGATCTACCGGTCCGAGATTCTCCATTGAGAGATATTAAAAACGGGAAAATTATGAATTCCTAAGGTTGAGACATAGGCAAAGTCAGTCGGCTGGTCCGGTATTCTTCAATCTTACCAATCGAAGATCGGCGATTGTCAAGATTTCCGCGTTTAATTCCGATGTGCGTTTTTCATAGCCTCAGGTATGTTTCGCTTTGGTCCCTAACCCTAACCCAAACCCTGGTCAGGGTTAGGGTTAGGGTCAGGGTCAGGGTTAGGGTTAGGGTCAGGGTCAGGGTTAGGGTTAGGGTTAGGGTTAGGGACCAAAGCGAAACATACCTGAGGCTATGAAAAACGCACATCGGAATTAAACGCGGAAATCTTGACAATCGCCCGAAGACCTAATCTAGATCTAGAATCTGTCTATCTAGATATCAGATCTAGATTCTAGGTCCGTGCGTGACTCAATTCCCACCGGACTGAGATCTCTATAAATTCTCGAACACAACCAGTACAAGTACAACGAGTAACTTTCAAATAAATCTAAGTTGTGGCTGTGGGTCCAAAGATGAAACCATGACATAAAAATTATTAAAAACAGACAGGCATTCTAATTCAAAACACAGTTCGTAGCATCTGTTGTGCACAGCCTGAATAAACTTTGCGTTTTAGACAATTATTTGGTTAGTTAGGCCTTCCTAGATTACATGTGTAATGTGTGTTGCGAGTCGATCCGAGGCACGAACTTGCGAACACAGCTGAGTAGCCTAATACTTAATACAAGTAATGTGTCGTCTGTGTGACTGTGTTCGTGTGCGAAGTCCACAATCACAACACTAAAATATTGCTTGATATCGGGTACTGGTGTTTAAATAATCAGAACTTACAGATTGCAATACAGATAATACGAAGACTGCACCAAGCTTTCGCAAGAAATAATTTCCATCAACGCTTCACAAACACAACAAAGGCAGAACTGCTCTCTTTCCGCGAGTTCCCTCACCCTTTGTTTATGTTGTTCGGCAAGATGGCGAACATCACCATACAATAAAGCAGGCAAAAAAAACATCCGCATGAGAATGTAACACCTAATTATTTTGCTAATACATTGACTTATTACGCTTACAAAGAAATTATACTATTAGCTGCAGATTCGATGTATATTTCTATATTCATCAGAACCCTCAAAATTATGTTGCATAAAGGAAAGACCTTGTCGGCGGCGTAATAATTTTACTCTGATGCATACTCGGAGCTCCTCCCACTCTTCCGCTTCAACAAACCTAAAAAACCTATGGCCCTTTTTTCCTCAACCTCCCTAGCAATCCTCGCAACTTGAACAAGCACGCATTCGCTTACTTTCAGTCTACTAAATCCTACTTTGACTTTGACTGAACTACGAATAGGGGCCAGGGACGAGAATCAAGAGCAAGGTGGTTGCTGGTGTGACCTAGTAAACGTGCTCCCGCTTTTCGTAGATAAATTCTTTGTTTCTTTCAATGGTTGTTATTCTTGTTGTCATTTTATAGGGGGTTTTTGGTTTTTTTTATCTTTGTTTTGTTTGGGGGGGGGTGGACCAGGTTTAGGAGCAAAATATCCTTTATTTCATGTGTATGGCCAAGCTGGGGTGGGCGGGGGGGGCAGGTACATTCTGAAAGGTTTATAAGCAAAACAATGGATGTTATAATTGAATACATGTATTAGACAACATATATATGTTGGCATACCTGGAACTAATAATTACAGGCTTAGTAGTATGCTCTTACCACGAATATGGTCGGAACTTGTTGGTTTCCAATCTCTAAATGAATCTGCTTTCAAAGTTGGACTGAACATTCTTGGTGTGGGTTAGGCTAACTATAACATGAGCGCGAAATTACATCCTCATAATATTTATATAATATATAGCCTATATAAAAATATAACACATACACCCAATATTATAATATAACCCCCTTGATCATACCTTATAATAGTATATATACCTTATATACAGCCCAGTTGCAAATATGTAGTGCGTGCTCTTAGCCTGGTTCCACACACACACACACACACACACACACACACACACACACACACACACACACACACACACACACACACACACACACACGTACGTACACGCACAAACACACGCACGCACGCGCACACACACACACACACACACACACACACACACAGAAGCCTACAGGCGGCACTGGCGTGCACGAAAGAGGCATAAACGTGGAGCGGGTGGTTGGAGGACGCCACTGGCACCGCTAGGCCCTATAAACTCCTTCACTTCCCCTCTTAGTCTGCCTGTCTGTCTTGCTTTCGCCCACCACTAAATTGACCAATATTGTGTCAAATGTGTCGATGTGCTTCTCTTTCCTCAAACCAGAACAGTGGGTGGTTGTCGGGTTCTCTAGTGTACCGTGGTTTGCTCCTTCTTTCGGCTATGAAACATCTAGATTCTATATATCGTCTCTCTCTCTCTCTCTCTCTCTCTCTCTCTCTCTCTCTCTCTCTCTCTCTCTCTCTCTCTCTCTCTCCCTCCCTCTCTGTCTCTGTCTCTCTGTCTCTGTCTCTGTCTCTCTGTCTCTCTCTCTCTCTCTCTCTCTCTCTCTCTCTCTTTGTTTTGTTTGTTTGTTACTCTCTCGTAACACCTCTAATCTTCAGTGCTGATATGACCTACCATATTTCAAGAGCAGAAAGACTCTAATTAGATCTAACAAAACTTGTTGTTTTAAAAAGAGCCATAATATATAGGCCTATAATATACATTTGGTAAGGCCGCAACCATATTCACGCCCGACACCGACAGACGGACCAGACCCGCCATTTTCCGTCTGGTGCGGCCGACCATAATATTAACACCGGTTTTTGTCAGTCAGACACCGCCGTCTTGCAAATATGGCGTGTAGCAGAAGAAGAAAATGTTGTTGCTGCTTTTGAGACGCAGACAAAAAAGGAAAACCAAGACAAGAAGAGTTTAAGTTCATCCCATCCAAAGAAAGCGTGATACACTTGGTGAATTTCATCATTTGTTCCCGCAGTTGTTGGAAGATAGTGAAAATTTCCAAAAATACTATCGCATGAAACATAGCAGTTTCAATGAACTGCTAGAGATATATGCAGAGCTAAAGAGCTAACAAAGAACTGCTAGAATACTGTGTAGTGGCATTGAGGCCTGAAAGGGGACACAACTATGTAGAGATAAATCATTAAAAAATTATCTCCCATCTCGCCCTACGGACCGTCTTCGATAGATCATGTTTTATCGGAGACGGTCTGACCGGGGACGACACAGGACGACGGGCGTCAGTATGGTAGCCGAAACCGTTTTTTGTTACTTTCCATTACTAAAAAGCCGGTGCGCATTCTTTTGTTCCCGAAGACGGTCTGGTCCGTCTGTCGGTGTCAGGCGTTATTATGGTTGCGGCCTAAGCCTTTTCTGGGATGGAGAAGTACTGCGAAGAGCATGGAACCCTTTACATAACCCAGCTCGCCTTTGGAGGTGGGTGGGGGGAGTGGTGAAACTATAGCTAGGCTACTCTAAAGTATCAAATAAAAGAGGGGGGGGGGGGTTAGGAATAAAAGAGGGGAGGTGATCGACAAGTGGTCCAAAATTAATAAACAGGAGTTGGAATGAAAGGGGTGGTGGCACATTCAACCTCATACCCCTTTACTAGTAAGAACACATCTGTTGCATATATAGAGTATAGAGCAATCTAAGAAACGTCAGTTGTATAGAGCAATCCAATTTGATTTCTTTTCCTTCGACATAATTCTATGATGTTGATGACGTGACACTCCCTACGAGTTGCGAGCGGCGTATAAACAATACTAAATCTAAATATCTCTCTCTCTCTCTCTCTCTCTCTCTCTCTCTCTCTCTGCCATACATTTCGTAGGCATATATAATATACTTAGATATTTTTCTAAGTACACCGTGTTAATTGTAGTTTCCGTTCGCTCTGTTGTTGGGTTTTTTGTGTGTTTTTTTTATCGGTAAACATGACAGCTAAACTGTGAGTGTTTCCTGTGTGGTGTGAGTCAACACATTCACGAGAATGTCGTTTGGTTAGCCAGGAAAAATTAAGTGTCGGGTTTTGAAAGTCGGACTTCGGACCCTTTTTTAAAAAAGTGCGTCTTAATCATTTATTTAGGTTTTTGTTTTGTCTTACTCTTGTTTGAGTTTGTGGAACTAGATTACAAGAAATAAATGTAGCGGTTATAACTGCGCTGTCTATTTGTCTGTCCCCGTGCTTTTATGCACCGCGCACAATTTAGCAAAATTTGATCATTTTTTGGGCATAATTTCTTATTATTTTCCTTTATCGTTCTTTGTTAAAATTAACAGACTCGCACAATTTCACATTTTTGGGCTTAGTTTGCATAATTTCATATTTTTTCTTTCATAAAACGACGGGGACAGCTCTCTCCCTCGATTCCCCCCTCCCCCCCCCCTCTCTCTCTCTCTCTCTCTCTCTCCCTCTCTTTCACTGCCATACATTTTGTAGGCATGTATACTAAGATATTTTTTTAAGCGCACCGTGTTAATTGTTGTTTCCGTTCGCTCTGTTGTTGTTAATTGGGTTTTTTTTCAATCGGTAAACATGACAGCTACCCCCCGGGGCAGTGCCACTGACTGAAGTGTCTTTAGGCCATTCCCAAAGGGGGGACATTTCTTGTTCAAGCATAGTAGAATTGTAAATGGGCTGGCTCATGTCTCGCTCATAACTGTGCTTGATCTACTGATCTACAACAGGGAACTGCTACTTTTTCTTTCCTGATCCTTACTATTGTCATTTTCCTCTACATGTACTTCTTTTGTATGTTTGTCACTCTCTTGTGACTTGCTATTTCCGTGGTGCCTTGAAAGTCGAAGCAGACCTTGTGCTGTTGAAGCTAGAGAGGTGAGAAGTCTGATTCCCTGTAAATAAATAAATGTCAACACTCTTTATGACTTGACGAGGACTTTAATGACCAAGCACAATGAAGACATACGTCAGACGATGCATGACTGGGACAGAAACGGAACAGAAATAAAGCAGATGAATATGATTGACAAATAAGGGAAATAATAATAACGGACACAAGGAACAGATACGAATGATGGCACATACATGTGGTCTTGTAGCTACTGAATGATATTCCTCTACGCCCCCCCCCCCCCAAAGTCTTTGGAGTAGAACAGAAAAGACTGATGTAGTGTCAAGAAATACTGGTGATATAACAAGGAACATAACGAGAGATAGGAACAACGGTAATGTCTGCTTGGACCTATGAAAAGAAACTAAGAGAGCAAATGATTGATCAATGAGTGTCTGAATCAGACTAGGATTTAGAGTCAATTGGCTTGGGGCTCTGTCTGGCCAATAGTCTTGCTGATCGCCGAGGGCCGCCTGGAGGCGTGCTCACGCCTATGGGAACATTTTGCTCTTGTATGCCAGGGGCGTTGTGCGGCTGGAGCGCACGTAGAGCACGCGGGGTGGCTTGAGCCTGAGGTTGTAGAACCAACGTGTCGACAGCAAGGCGTGGATCAGGTGCTAATTCTTGCCCGGATTCGGGGACAGTAGGCATCGATGGATCGTGTGCTGGGGGGTCCTGAACGCCAGCTGGTTGTGGTAGATCCGGGCAAGGAGAGGGCGGCGAGGTCACGCTGGGCTTGGCATGCTCGGGGTGTGAATATTCTGAGGCGCTGGCTGTGGTGGTGAGGTGCCACCCGGGATCATCGTCAGTGGTGAGCGTGGGGCAACAGGCATGTAGTTGCGGAGGAACTTTCTGTTGCGAAGGGTGACGCGGCCAGAGCCATCCACTCGAACGACATACACGTCAAATTGACGTACTTCCACTACAATGCCTGTCTTGTCCCATTTGGTCGGGTGGGTTCCCGTTTGGTTCTGTATGCGCACAGTCACCGACGACGAGTGGAGGTAAGATGCGAGTGTACTCAGAGAGGCGCTCAGCGGTGCGCATGTGCCGGTTCCTCAGTGCCTCTTCTCGCGACAGAAGGGTAATTCACGCCAGGTACTGTGAGGCTGATACTTCCCTGGGTGGATGGGGATGAAGTCCCGTATTGGACGTCCAAAGATACACATCGCTGGGGATAGGTGGGTGTCACGATCAGGAGTGTTCCTGTATTGCAGCATTGCGCGCTGGAACTTGTCAGTGTTTAAAGATCCTTGTGGACCCGTGTTGTCAGTGATCAACCGTTTCACTGTCTTTACTCCAACTTCAGCGCGACAATTAGAGTGGGGAAAGGCGACTGAAGAGACCATGTGGTGGACACCCCAGTTGCGAAGGAAAGTGGAGGTTGCCAGGGACGTGAACTCAGGGCCTCCGTCCGATGTCAGTTCATCACTGATGCCATAGGTGACGAAGATGCAACTGAATGATATTCCTCTAGTAAAGACTTCTCTGTTGACACCCACCCCTTGGCGCTCATATGACCTTATGCAGTTGTGAGCGCCGTAAAACCCTCTACTATAAATAAATTTTAAAAAACACACCGCCCCCCACCCCCTCCGTCTCAAAGCCGGGTATTATGATTGTGTAATCAAAACTGCGAAGTTGGAACGGGATCAACGGTTACAAAATGTGACCAGCCCAGCAGCCAATCAATAAGCGCCGATGGTTCACTCTCTACAAAACTGAACGCAAAAATAGTACCCTATTTCGTTCCAGAAACCGGAAGCTGCATGAGGTGGAGCATAAACACTTTGCACAACCGAGGAAAGGTCAAGTCATAGTGGTGGACTCTGACACAGCCTGAATTTTTTTCGATCAGTTTGTGATCCTAACAGCGTTTTAAGGAAATGCCAAGACGAGGACGATCAGGAGGCTTTAGCAGGTATTTCTTTAAAGTACCGAAATGAAAAGGAATTCTGAGTCTATCTCAATTTTGTCAACTCGTCAGCCTTGACTTTGACTGATGAAATTGACAGTAGTGCAATGACAGTGTGGTGAGAAGCAATTGTCAAAATGAACATGACATGATAGTGGTGATGTAGATCTAGATCTAGATCTAGATCTAGATCTAATCAATGAGGCAAACAATAGAGGGGTAAATTTTTACTTTCACTCCCGCACACAGATGCACTGTTTCAGGGGTCAAACTGCTGTACTGTTTGCTGCAGATCACACATAAAGTAAAGCCACTAAAACTGTCGCAAATCAATTATTTTCAAGACAATTTCAAATCTAACTGTAAAATATCAAATTATGGGTGTAAAAACAGGGGGGCATGCCCCCCTGTAACCCCCCAGATTTTCTTTTACCCCAGTGGGGCAGGCCCCCCTGGAACCCCCCGATTGGTCCAAAGCATGTCTATCTCGATTAAAAACAATCAAATATTTCAAAAACCATTAATTTGCTACGGAAATGAAGTTGATATTCGTGTTCAGCGCATCAATATTTAGTAGAAAATAGACAACTGGTAGCTGAGTGTGAGACGGGAGGGAAAGTAAAAAAATACCAATGAACTGAAGGTTTATTCTCTGCTATTTTGAGGCAGGTGTTCGGACCGTTTTTTAAAACTTGTATCATACAGTACAGTATGCTCAAACTCAAAGTCAAGGCATCCTCCCGTATAGACTAGAGTACATTTACAGTACAATGTTTTTTTACTTTCTAGATTCTAGAGATTATCTACTAAATTAAGGGGAAAAACCCTCCCGATCCACCACAACCACGTAAAATGATTTTTAAGAGTACGCAGTGGCTATGTTCACGGCGCCCTGAATGTAGTTTGCAATTTAAGAATGATCTTGCTCACTTCACTCCTGCATTTTCCCTTTTGCTTCTTTTTTACACCCCTCCCCCCCCTCTCCCCTTGTTACTGACACATAGCCTACATGTAGGCCTACACGCCTATATGGAATTCATGCCTTGAGGTTTGGACCTCATGGGAAGAAGTTTCCACTTGAAGTGAAGGAGTTTGTAGTTTGTTTGTACAGCAATTTTTCTAACCTTCACCAAATGTCTTTTGATATTCTTTGAATTTCCAGGCCGAGTTTGTTTGTACAGGCGGCAGTTTCTTTAACCTCCACTGATGTCTGTGCTATTCTTTGACTTTGACTCTCCAGGCCTGCCCCTGCCGCCCCTCCCAGGCCCGCCCCTGTCCCAGCTCACCCTCCCCCGGCCGCACCAGCGCCGATGGCCGCTCAGCCGCGACAACCTGGAATGTTCGCCCAGATGGCCACCACGGCAGCGGGAGTTGCTGTCGGTTCAGCTGTGGTAAGGGCTCACTATTTTTATTTCATGGTTGATGGGTGCTCTCATGTGGTTTGCTCTTTCCTTCAAACATCTATTGTCCTTATCTCTCTTCCTTCTTTTCTTTGTATGTTACTCTCTAGTAAGACCTGTAATATTCAGCATTGACATGGCCTGCCAGTAATTGTGTAGGAAGTGCCGTGAAAGTGTTTCTAAAAGTAAAACTAATTTTAGTTCTTGTCCTAAAGCCATGATGATTTCTGTGTCCTCCTGTCGATTTCGCTGTGTGCATGTTAGTGTTAGACTGTATAGAATCTGGCGCGCGCCCCCTAGTATAAAAAAAACACACAAAAACCAACCCACTCCCACTTTGCTTTCCTCAAAACTTTTCAGGCAACTATTTTATATTCACAGTTTGTTTTGTGGGTGGTTGGCGAGTGCTCTGGTGTAGAGTGCTCCTTCTTTTCTGTGAAACATCGATCCTCCTTATCTCTTTTCCTTCTTTGCTTTGTATGCTACTCTCTTTTATAACACCTCTAGTCTTCAGCATTTATTATTTTATATTATATGACTAACCAGTATTTGTATTGCTAGTGCCATGAAATTCTGACTAACTCAAAGTAAAAATAAATTTAATTCCTGTCCCCGAAGCCATCATGATAAATTTTTATAATTCCAGGGTCACACCATTGGCCACGCTATGACCGGAGGTTCGGGTGGAGGCTCCGCCCCTCAGGAAGTTGCGGCGGCCCCCGCTCCCCCCGCCCCCATCGCCCCGGCCGCCCCCGCGGGCCAGCACAGCTACGACCCCAACAGCAACCCGTGCCAGTACCAGCTGCAGCAGTTCATCGAGTGCACCCAGACGCAGACGGACATCAGCCTCTGCACCGGCTTCAACCAGGCCCTCAAGGAGTGCAAGCTCCGATTTGGTCAGTTGGTGTAGAAAGAGTACTAACTGAAAATGTTTAATGTGTCTCGTGCGCTCACATGACCTAATGCAGTTGCCAGCGCCGTAAAACACTTACAAAAAAAAAGAGTAGTCGACAGATATAATGTGGAGATGATGACCTGCTGAAAAAGATTCAAAACAATGATATTTGATAGTGACGTTCTTTATCCTCTTACAACCCCCCCCCCCCCCCCCACCCCTTTACAACTGAACAATGAAGTCTAAATTGTGTTGATGGGTCAAAAAAAATTTGCACCATATACCAGACGTGACGTAACACAGAAAATGTTTGCAAAAGTAATCAATAGAATTTTCTCTTGTGTGAACCTACAACAGTTGTGCACCTTGAAAAGTTTGGAATGCTTGAGCAAATTAAGCACAAGTGTAAGAGATTTTACCCATTCGCGACCCCAGTGCTTTCTTGTCGTATCTTCATTTTTAATAACATTGATCATTGAAAACAGTTCATAACAAAGAGTAAGCTTAAGAAGATATCATATTTTAACTGTTAAAAAAAATGGAGATACGACAAGAAAGCACTGAGGTCGTACTTTATGTAAGTGTTAAGTTGTATGTTTGCAGGGAGTTAACTTCGGACATCTGTGTGATGGACAAAAATCGGAGATTTTTTAATGAATGTACAGTCCAGCATGCACATATATAGCAAAATCGGCGGGATGGTGAAATCTTTTCTGTAGGTACCGGTTCCCATTTCACTATTATTCGTTTTAATTTTAAACAAAGAATATAATGTTTAACAGAAAAAAATTTGTTACCTGAAAACCTATTCTTTTACTTTGATTTTGTGCATATTTCACTGACTAGGTTCATCATGCTAGACTACTTTATGTTCTATTGTGTGTAACGTTTTGTGATTTTATTTTTCTGTACCAGGTCTTCAGTGATGTGATAGCTCTGAGAGAGGAACGTGGCAGACAGTCAGCGCTGAATCACGAGGCAGAACACATGGTTTTGAATGATCTTGGAATGTGATTGGCGGTGAAAGATGGGAGAAAAATGTCGCGATGCAGATAGGAATGTGCTGAACTGGACTATGTTTTTCCCGAAAGTCGTATTATTGACATTTTTATTAGTATATATGTGAGGACTTTATCCAAGAAGATAGAATGTTTGTTTCAGTGTGATATATTTTTGCCGTATTTTGTGTTGGCTGCCACCTCACATAATCTATTCCAGTGTGAATTGAAGGAGGTACATTTCTTCTATCTCAAGAATGTACTGAATGAAATAACTCAGCCTTTGTGAGTTTGCAGTGGACGTAAAAGTCTTTGATTTCGTATTAATATTAAGCAGAGAATTCAGCGCAATCATTGATAGTTTGCTACGTTTTAGGAATAAATACAGCTGTAACTATTTCCTGCTCTGTCTGAGCTGCTGTGGTGAAGGCCAGACCCCCCCCCCCCCAAGAAAATATGTTGATCCTTGTGTTGTGCGTGTCTGTGCCATGTTCTGAGTTACTGAGGCACGGTTACAGCTTTTCTTTTACCAACAAATTGAGAATAAATATATTGCAACATCTGGCAAGTCTCTCTCACAATACAGTACTGATACCGGTAGTATATATTTGTCATCAGGTGATACAAGAAATAAACGTTTTCTGCAGATTTGTAAATACACACTATTGTTGTTGTTGGTTGAAAAGTTCTTAATAATGTGTCGGTGAATGAGTGATATGACAGTGACTTTGGACTCTCAACCATAAGGCAGTGGGTTCGAATCTCATCAGGGGCTCAACGTTGTGTCCTTGGGAAAAGCAATTTACATGAATTTTCCTCACTTCACCAAGGTGGCAATAGACACAGAAAAATGTCAGTTTGTGAGTAATTTAGTGTATGTGGTCCACAGCTTGCACTGTATGCTTCCAGAGAAGCTGAGAATGTTTCCAAGTCATGTTCAAGGGTTTGCTGGGGTCATAATAGTTGTAAAGTGCACTTGCCATCATGGATATCGCGACCTCAGTGCTTTCTTGTCGTATCTCCATTTTTTAAAACAGTGAAAATGTGACATCTTCTTTCTTATGAACTGTTTTCACTGTTATTAAAAATGGATATACAACACGAAAAAGCACAGGGGTCGCGATATGTGTCATAAAAATGCAGTTCTTATTGTTATTTACGAGGCGGGACCTCCAAGTGGGTTTGAGAACCTTGAAACTCCCTAAATAACTTTATTTCGAAAACACCTTGCTGGGGATTTGAACCAGGACCATCAATATGTTAGTCCAGTGTGATGCATTATGGAAGTTACCAGCACACAGGAGACCACTGATCAGATACAGATAGAAAATAAAAGAAAAGAAATGTTGTCCATTGTAGTAAGTGTAAGTTCTAACGGTGGTTCTAATCTATGTCAGTGTTTACGACAAATACTACCACCACATAGGACATACAAACAAAGAAAATGTTATCGCTGCTGGCACTCGGCAGAACTGATCAAGTCTGGTCTGGGTCACGGCTCATAGCTCCCACTGTTCTGTTCACCCTTTGTTTAGTCGCTCACCAGCAGCAGGCGTCAATAGGTTACTTAGCGCTACACTTCATGTCATAGTCCTGGAAATGTCCAGTAAGTGTGATGACTCATATCGGCAAGAGGCTATTTTCTTTTTGAGTAGGCAACTGGTACAGTTGGATGGATGGCAGTCTTTTCCGTTTTAGTATAAGTTTTACCGCACTTGCAACACAATAAGGTTATATATATTGTTTGTTTTAGTAAAGAGTTTTACGGCACTTGCAACACAATAAGGTCATATAAGTGCCGAAGATTAGAGGTGTTACAAGAGAGTAACAACAAACGTAAAAAAGAAGGAGGAGAGATAAGGACGATAGCTGTTAAGAGGAAAGAAGGAGCAAACCACACCAGAGCACCCGCCAACCACCCACGGTTATATATATTAAGTGCCAAAGATTAAGTGTTACATAACAGTAACTCACACAAAAAAGGGGGAGAGATAAGGACAATGAATGTTTGATAGGAAAGAAGGAGCAACCCACAACAAAGCACCTGCCAACCACCCACAGGCAAAGTTTGACAAAGACCAGAAATCAATGCCAAAAAACAAACAAGAATAAGAAAAGATAACGTTTGTGCTGTACATCAAGTATGTATTTCTCAATGTTTGCTGACATGTATGTGGGATAAAAGGTCAGGAAAAAAATGTATAGTCAGAGAGTTGCAATTTATTTCACACTCAGTCTCACTCATAAGCAGTCGAAACACTCGACAAAACATCGCCATTACATTTATAAAACTTTTCCACACACTCATGTTAAAGTTAAAAGACATAACATTACACAGACATGCCCTAAAAATGTGAAGTAAATGGCAAAACAATAGTCAACAAATCAATCAAAATGGAGGACATGAGGACTGGGTACCCAAGAGGTCGATTCTCCAAAAGAAGAACTCAATACGGTATTGACAATTGAAAAAAAAAATATATAATATATGTTTTTTACACCCCCATTGACACAAGTTAGATCTTTTAGGTAGTAGGCTTCAACCCTGCCTGTCAGGATCAACGGTTTCAACCCGGGCTGAGAGGGATACAACGTCCCAGCAGACAGACCCGGGCTGAGAGGGATACAACATCCCAGCAGAAAGACCGGGATACTCCGAGGCAATTCTCCCCACTCTGTAATGGAACTTGGGAATTTTAGTTTTAGTAAGAGTTTTACGGCACTTGCAACACAATAATAAGGTCACAAAAGTGCTGAAGATTAGAGGTGTTACAAGAGAGTAACATATTTTTAAAAAGGAGGAGAAATAAAGACGATTGCTTTCTGAGCTTAGAAAAAGTGGGACAGCTTGTCAACGATATGGCAGACTCAAGGTCACTCAGCGTGTCACTGCAGGGTGGGCAGCGTAGAGTAGGACCAACAGACAGGATGGCAAATATAGGTCAAGTTAAGTAGACATAACGGTACTGTAAAATTTGAAACATCTCACACCCAGTGAGACAATACAGTCACAGAGTTGCTGCCTCGGAGAGTAACAAACCACACAGTTTTAGTGCAACATGTAAGAGTTTTACGGCACTTGCAACACAAATAACACATCATACAAGTGTCTAATATTAGAGGTGTTACTAGAGAATAACGTACAAAATAAAAAGAAAGAGAGAAAAGGACAACAGACGAAAAGAAAAAAGGAGCAAAGCACACCGGAGCACCAGTAACTATCCACCCACACACACTTCTTACAGAAAAATTGTTTTATTGGCGACCTCAGCAGCAAGGAAAAAAGTAGAGAGAAATGTTTACTCTTTGTGAGGTGAAGAAACCCTTCCGCGTCGTTTACTTTGCTTTAGAAAGTGTTTTACGGCACTTGCAACACAATAAGGTCAAATAACTTGTGTCGAAGATTAGAGGTGTTACAAGAGAGCAACAAACAAAGAAGGAGGGTAGAAAAGGATGATAGCTGTTTGATAGGAAAAAAGGAGCAAACCACACCAAAGCACCCGCCAACCACCCACAGTGTCGTTAAAGTTAAAGTCATAACCCATGACGGGTGAGAGAAACAACAGGGACATTTCACCAGGAGGCCTGTTTTGTCGTTCAGGTAAACGTTTTACAGCGCTCACAAGTGCAAAAGGTAGCATGAACATGAAGAAGTAGACTAGTAGAAGGCACTTTGGGATACTAGGCAGGAGCAGACCTCAGGAGAACACCCATCAACCACCCGCTATAATCTTCATGCACACAACTTTCAACCACATAGTATCATCATCATTGACCCCAACCCCCCCCATCAATAACAAAAGTAAATGTGTGAGGTGTGTGGACAATACGAGTTACTTTTCAGATTTTGGCGTTCTGGACTAAGACAAAGATATAAATAGAAGTCAAATTGATAGTGAGTGATAGGTTGAGTTTGTACAATTCATTAGACGAATCAGAAATGATAAAAGACATGGAAAACTTGAAGAAAATGTCATCAGTTAAAAATCTACAAATTTGACCATGATGTTGATTTTCAGCAAATGTCTCCATTTGAAGGTTGAGAGAGGTACCGATCGGCAACTCATTTTGTCAGCACGCCTCACATAAACAAGTATTGTCATTGACCAAAAGAACACATCAACGACAAACAACAGTCAATGTTCCAAAACATCGAGACCATGAGACGTCCACCACACGCTGTGGTTCCTGCCTTTGATATTGACATGATGAAATCTGGCACAAAGTTATGACGACAAAAAAAATTAAAAAAATGATTGTGACAGTGGTGACAGTGATATATACAGAGGGAGACAAGATGTGATGGACAAAAAAAAAGGG